TATATATATATATATATATATATATATATATATATATATAACAGAGCTATAAAAAGATGATGGAATTACAATGAAAATATTGCATTGTCATTGTTTGGTTGTGTGATTATAGCTGCTAGTAGGGGGAGAGGGAAAGGTCTGGGTAGGAATATGAAGTCAATCATTCTAAATTTGAAATTTGTTTCTACTTGTCAATGGCTAACAATGGTTAACTAAAATTTTGGGCAATCGAAGGTCTTATAATATGCATCTCAGCTTGCGCATGTTTCCTAAGAGATTGTTGGTTAAAACTTAATGGCTGGGTGGTAGGGTGGAAATGTAAACTTCTTTTTATAGGAATTGGATTCCAATACATCAGATCTCTTATAAACAACTACCTCGCCGATTGTCTTGAGATCTGCAATCATTCCTAAATGTGATCTTGTAAGGATTTCATCCCTCCCTCTTAGATTTGAAATTGGCTCGTGTTCGAATTGCTCAAAAAGAATGTGATCATGTTATGCTCGAATTATAAATTAACTTGTTTAAATTAATATAAAAAGTAGATGTGATCCACAGGACCACGCAAGTTGTTATAATTTAAACTTAGTAAATAATTTATATATTTTCTTTATTACAAGTTAAAATGAGCTGAACATGGTTGAACAAAAGGTTGTTCATGTTCGTCTCGTTTATAATTTGAGCTTAAAAAATTTGATAATGTTCGGCTCTTTTACTTAACGGATGGTTTGAACACGAATTATTTAACGAGTCGAACACGAGCTGCTCGCAAACAACGAGGTTTTTTGACAACCCTACTTAAGTTAGGTTCACCTGATAATCTGGGGAAATGTACTCTACCTAGAGTGATTAGAGAATCTGGTATGTTCTTTGTTTACACTCTTAAAACTATTTTTAAAATAAAATTGCTATGGAAAATTAATTAAAACAGTCCTATATCTTGGAGGTCTTAATTAACAAATGGCTAAATTTAATTCAATAATGCAAGGAGCGCTTAATGTGGAAGGAAGTCCAACATTTAGCTAATATATGAGAAAGAAAATAAACTATTAAGTGGACAATGGTCCTCGTTTTCATTATATTATGACCCTTGGTTACAAAGAACCTCTTTGAATGACTTGTTCGAGGAGATATTTTATTCCATTTCGCCCTTTATCCTCAAGCTAAACCAAAGTATCAATAATGGGAGAAAATTTTCCATGTGGAGTCCGGACGCAGCTCTACGTGCGAACTCCAGTAATATGTAGTCACGTGTGCTACATCACAGAGGTTATTGGGGGGTTATTAAAGTGGAACTGTGGAGGTTATTGGTGGGTTATTGGGGAGTTATTGCGGGTGTTATCGCAGGGGTTATTGCAGAGGGTTATTGAAGTGGAACCGTGGGGGTTATTGGGGATTATTGCAAGGGGTTATTAGAGTGGAACCACAGAGATTATTGGAGGGTTATTGGGGGGCTATAGATGCGTTATTGTGGCTTTATTGGAGTTAATACCCCAATAACCCTCAATAATCCTCTCAATAACATTCACAGTTTCACTTGAATAACCTCTGTGGTTCCACTCCAATAACCTCCACCGTTCCACTTTAATATTTTTTTAGGTGAGCTCGATGTAGCACACATGTCACAAAATTACTGGAGTTCGCACGCAGAGCTACATCCGGACTCCGTATGAAAAATTTTCTTCAATAATGGAATATCCCTCTCATTCTAGCTTCCATTTGCTTGAATTATCTTTAAGTTGATACTAATTTGTGAGGCTTCAAAGAGATTGATCATATAATCTAGGAATAACTAAATTATTTTTTATCTGCTAAAGCTAAATCCCTCAACGTTGAGAACCCCCCTAGAGTGGAGTGGTGGGAACAAATTTTGTTCAAGGATGTCTCTATTAACTAGCACTCTATGCATAGATGATATTGAAGAATAAACTAAAAATTATTCATACTCTTCTTGGTTGTCTTTCAAATAAACTCTTTGTGAAAATTGTGCAATTGAGAAATAGAAACATGTGATCACCTATTCATTTGTTGTCCCTCTTCTATGTGACTAGTAAGAAATTTACAACCCAATGACAGTTTCTTCCTTGTATCATAAAATCTTATGCAAATTTTTTTATGAGCGTTCAAATCACCAATGGAAGACTTTTAGGAGAATATAATATTTCATTACTTCAATATTAATATACTTACTTTAGGAGGAAATAAATAAAAATATTTTTTGCAATACTCATTCTTCTCTATATGCTATCACGGGAAAAGGTTAAGTTACAAGTTGCCTTTAAACTTTTAAAAAAAATTAAATTAAATTTAAGAAATCTTAATCTTCAGAAGCTATATTCTTTTTCACTGAGTTGTCTCAAATTTTCACATTTGATGAAATTATGTTCATATGCATTTTTGAGTTTCTACATTGGTTTCTCACTATTCTAAAAGCAGTTGTTATGTTTCTTTACATACTATATTTTTTCATGTTTCATCTTATTTTTGTGTTATTGTGAGGTGGTTCTTCCATTTTTTTATGAGTATTCTGCATTTTTCTGTCATGATTGAAAATATCCTTGAAATACTCTACGATTGATGGAGACTGTGTATTTTACGTTTTGCTCGGAAGAGTATACTATTCTATAGCTCGTTAAGCAAATCAAAGTCTCAATAATTGTACTTGGGAATTTGGCAAGGTTTTAATCAACATTTCAACTACTTCAAGCTTAATATGCTTCTTCTCTAGCATGAGGCCTTGTCATTGGATGGGAGATTCATACTCTCTTATTTTCAACCAAATATGCAAATGTTTGTTATCTTTACTTATTGGATCCTTAAGTGGATATTGTTAATGGAAAAAAAACAAGCTTTCATTCTCTTACTGAGATAATCTCAAAACTCATGTTTCTTCTGATTTACTAAGTTGACCTTATAATTTTGATTTTTTTTTTAATTTCTCTTTTCTTTTTCAAGCTAATATATTATGTCCCTTGGCTCTTTCTTGAACAATCATGTAACAACCATTAATCTTAATAAAATTTGGCAATGCCCTCAACTTTTCCCAAAAGAAAAAGCCTTAGTAGATTTTTTTTCTTGACTTATAATTAGCTTAAAGGCTTGGCACACTCATGTGTTTTCTTCCCTGTTTATTTGGTCAATAATAAAGAGTTTAACACTACTCATAATTGCATTACTCTTAAGTAACGTTAATTGCATTCATATGGAAAAACCAATGAATCTATCCATATTTACATTTACTTTTACTCTAAAAGTGATAAGTATAACACGTTACTTGTTATTATAATTCAAATCTCAATCATCATAAAACTTGTGTACTAGTTGAATTGAAATGATACTAATAAATGGCTATTCATTGACTTGAATTATTATTTGATCAAACAAGTCAATATTGATAGTATGATATCTTTGTGTAAGGAAGACCGAACAAGTTGATGACTCTTCTAACACCTATTAAATTAAGTTATATTAGGACATGTGAACCGCCAATCAATCTCAATGAAGTACAACAAGCTAGTAATAAGATCAAGATTTCAACATAATGCGAACCGTCTAAGAAAACTTAAATCAACTA